CCTTGATTTTTTTTTTTTTTTTTTGGTGACTTTCTCACCTCCCAAACACTTTGTACAACAGAGGATTTCCAAATTCCTCTGAAACATTCAGGAAGAAATCCAAAAACAAAAGAGATATGATATGGACAGCACAGTATCAAGAACTGTGGAGCAGCCATTAATGGAGTCTGAACTCAAGGTGGGGGAAGCAGAGTAAGCAGCAGAGGATTGGGGGAGGATTATGTACTGGAATGCAAAAATGATTATATGTAAACTCATCATACTGAAGCTGTTCCTCCTCCGCCACTCGAAATCCATGGGTGTCCTGTCAAAACACAACGATTTCCAATTCCCATGAGATTCATTTTCTATGCTCATACACAAATTTTCTCAGTAACCAAACAAACAAATCCCTACATCTTCTACCAGTTCTAGATTTGCAAACACAACTATGGATTCAGAATGGGAAATCAAACAGTTCAGATCTCATTGTTTAATTAGAACAAGAAATTATACTTACGGAGAGCTTGTTCAGCAGAGAATCTTTTAGATACATCTCGACAGATCATCTTCTTTATTAAATCCTTAGCTGCAGAAGAAACCGACCTGAAAACCCTAGTCGGAAATCTCAGATTTCCTCTAAGAACCGCCTCAAACACATCCGTCGCGGACTCGCCGTAAAACGGCCGAAATCCAGCCAACATCGTGTACAGAATCACACCGGCACTCCACACATCGACCTTCCGACCATACTCCGATCCTCTCAAAACTTCTGGCGCTACGTAGAAAGGCGTTCCGACGACACCGTACATAAATCCGTCTTTCTCACACCACTCAGCCGATCCGAAATCGATGAGTTTCAAATTGTTCCTGGAATCGAACAGCACGTTGTCAGGCTTCACATCGCGATGAACCACGCCATGGAAATGACAGTGGTAAAGCGCTTCAAGAAGCTGCTTCATAACGACGGCGGCTTCCGGTTCCGAAAACGGACGACGGACGATCCGATCGTAGAGAGAAATGGAATCGCAGAGCTCGGAGATCAAACAGAGATAATCATCGTTCTCAAGTACGTCGACTAATCGAAGAATGTTGGGATGGGGAGGGAGAATGGCCATGATTTTGGGCTCTTTCTCGAGGCATTCTTTGTCAGTTTCATCGACGAGATCGCTTTTCGCAATGGTTTTGCAGGCGAAGAACTTGCCAGAAATGGGGCAAAAACAACGAGTGATGATTCCAAATCTTCCTCTTCCGATCTCCTCCAGGATTTCGTACTGGCTGTTCACAATCATGTCGCCCATTGTTGATGATTCTTCTTCTTCTTCTTCGGAACGTCTCACTGAGATTTGGGGATTTTTGTTTCCTCGATCTCTCTGCAAATTCTTGCTGAAGTTTTCTCTCCAGTGGGAGTGGATTTTGGAGGAATCCGTTGGGTATAAAGGGCGATTTATAGACATCTAATGGTATCGTTTGTCAGAATATTCCTCCCACTTTGGTGGGTATCTTACCCTCAATAAATGTACCACATCTAAATGAAAGCGATCATAAAGATATAATAATTAAGGAAGGTCGAAAAGAAATGAGTTACTATTCCTTTCCCGTGGCTCAGTTCTAGGACTATGGTTATCTGTTCTTAGCCGGGAGTCATTTTATGTTAAGTGACCTCCTGAGATGCATGTGAGTAAGGACAAAACATGTTGTAAAAACAAGTAACATGATCTTGTCATACAGGATGTATGGGAATGTCGGGGTCTTTGTCAAATTTTGATTATGAATCTTGAGATGGGTCCTTAATAAGGGTATTTTTTAAACTTTTTAATGTTTATGAGTGTTGAAAGTACTCGAGTCCAAATAGTATTCTAACTAGAAATATTTTTAAACGTAAAATTATAGAAAAAAAAATTCTTGTACTATTGACGTCCGTATCATCAATAATTATTTAATGCTAGCAAACTCTACATTAATTTCAACCGACAATGACATGACAACTAACGAGAATAGTATCCATATTATTTAAAATTTTGAAATCGTGTTTTACGGCTAAAAGATTGAAATTAGTCGAGATCCTAAAACTAATTATATTAAAAAAAACACGCTGAGACTGTTCTAGAAGGTCCATGTGAGCGCGAGTTTTAATTCTGCGTAGGCATAATTAATTCCGCTAAATAATTATATTTTCTATTTATTAATTGCATTGGGCTATTTTCTTCTTTTTTCTTCAACCAATTAAGGTATTGATTTAATTGCAATTTATTGACTTTCCCATTTTTTGGTATTTTATTTCCGTATATTTATTTACTTTTTTTTTTAGTCTAACAAGTATTTGGCATATTCGATAATTTTTACCCATCCCATAAATTGGGACATTATAACATCTCGGTATTCCCTTGCATCCCCTGCCACATGACCACGATACCTACATCTTGCTTTTAAGAGTGAAAACTATCCTCACAAACCAACACGGTCACATTACCTACTTCTCGTTTCTAAGAGTGAAGACTATCCCCACAGACCAACACGGTCCATGCTATGTTTTCATTCATATACTTCGTAGAAAAATTTTCGAGAGATTACCTAACATAAAATTGTTCGAAGTAAAAACACACTTAGTTTTGAAGTTCATATGATTGAGCCATTGAAAAAGAAGGTGCGACAACTCTCTTCCGTTTCTTTCTTTTCTATCAACTCCTTCAGTGGCTACAGTGGTCGTGGTTCGCCAGTATCTTCCTCGTTCAATGGCGGCTTTGGTGTGGTTCAGGTTGATAATGAGTCTCCTCACATTTAACAACGATAAGAAGTGAATTTTAGTAAGTTTATGAGATTTCAAGTGAGCTTTGGTAAGTTATATACCTGTTTAGTTCGACTTTTAAGGGTCAGTAGTTTAAGCCATTAAAATTGTGATATTTGGAGTATGTTTTGGTGTGTTTATGAGATGTGGAGTGAATTCAACCGAGTTAGGTTTGTTTGTTTTTATCTTTAAATAGTTCGTTGGACGAGTTTATAACATGTGGTTAAGGTTGTCTGTTTTGTCTTTAAATGGTTAGGTTGATAAGTTCATGGCGTGTGGAGTGCGTTATGCCCTTTGTATGGACTTCTAAGTAGTTTTGGAGTGTATTTTGGTGAGTTTATGCAATTTACACATTTTTCAATGGCTAGAGTTAATTAGTTTAGGTCAGTTGGTGGGATTTGAAGTACGTGTATAATTTGGTGAATTTGGTTGAGCTCGAGTCGTTTGTTTTGGCTTCAAATGATTAGTTTGGTGAATTTATTGACGTCAACATTTTATTTTGACTCTTTAGCTATTTTGCTTAATTCGATACTCTCGGAGTGTGTAAGTTCAGTTTGAGAAATTTTTAGGACTAACCTGAAATTTCGAGTCTGTTGAATCGTTGACCCAAAGAATCCAAATAGAGTTAACAATTCAACTCAATTCAACACTCTATTTTAGAATTGAGTTAGGTTAAATTAAGCTGAGTAGTTCTTTTAAATGGGGCAAAGACAGGGAATTGAGTAGGGGGTGGTGACGGAAAATATAATTCAGTCCCCGACCCCATTTCTCTAACGAAGAAAAAAATCTCCCTCTTCGTCTAAACGAGCTTTGAAAAAGCCCTTAAGCTAGCCAAGCCAAGGCCTAATCTATAAGTTAGGCCCATAAAATTGTGTTAGTGATTATAATTATTATTAATTCATTTTAGTATTTAGGGGGCTAATTGGTCGACTGTTACGATTCATGCCCAATATTCAAATTAAGATTCAAATATGGATTCGATATCTGATAATCCTAGCATTTTCCTGCATCTACTGCGACGTGGTCACATCATTTCTCAATTTTAAGAGTGAAGATTATCTCCACATACGAACACGAGTCATTTCAACATATTTTGTTTTCACTTACATGCATCCTAGGAAAATTTTCAAGAGGTCACTCGATATAGAATAAACATGCTTAACTATAGAGTTCTTATGATTAAGTTACCAAAAAGAAAAATTTATCTTGTTGTTGGTATAGGTAGTGACTTCGTATACCCACCCGCTTATTAAATATTTAAATATATATATATATATTTTAAATGTATAATTTGATACATTTCTTTGAATTTAGTTTGAAATAAAATCATTTTTAAATATTATGTATGAGAAATAAAATAAGAAAAAATGTGGGGATAAAAAAAGAACGTTCGCGATGGGACTCGAACCCACAATCTCCCGCTCCGGAGGCGAGCGCCTTATCCATTAGGCCACGCGAACTGTTTGTTGAAGGAAGGCAAATTAAATTATAAACTTTATTAATATCATAATGACTTAATAATGTAACCATTGCAATTATTTTTCAATAGCCCAACTAATATATTTTTAGACGTACGTTTTAACTCTACCATAATAATATTAATTACAGTAATATTTTCGTATCGAAAAAAAAAAAAAAAAGATTTGTAGTTTCAATTGTCTATGGGAGGAAGCCACGAGATTCTTTTAACTTCAATATAAGCTGTGTTACAATCTAACAAATTTAGGGTCTTAAATGAAACTCGAGTATAACCACTAAAATAACACCCTATTGTCTCGAAAGTGCGCATATTTGAACAGAGTTTTTTTATTTTTTATTTTTTAACCAAAATTTTCGGGTGAATCTATGGATTCCTCCAACTCAATGAATGAAGGGAGGAGTAAGGAGTATGAGCAAGTCTGACTTCCTTCTCTGACATGCAATTACCCTCGTCGCACTTAGGTCTATTGTACTTGAGATATCATGTGCGTGTTTAGTCTATCGCACTTGTGATATTGTTGCTTGCACTTGATCTATCACTCGTTTTTAGTTTTTACACTCTCCTGGTTTTCACTTGTGCTTGGTTTATCACTCATGCTCTATCTTAGTTTCCTTCGTGCTCTTGTCCTAGACTTATAACCTACTATTTTTACTCTTTAGTAAGCTCAATTCAATCGTTCGACTCAATCACCTCAATATGTTAGGCTTTAAGTTCACGTACAATTTACACCAAAATCCCAAACCTTGAACTCTGAAAATTCAAATATTTCACTTGAAACCCTAATGCAAACAAAACGTTATAGATCTTTATTTTGAAAGCGTGAGTTATGGGTACTTATGATGTGTCGAAGCATTTTTTTTAGACTCAATCCAATTGTTTGAGTTGTAAATTTTTGAACCCAAAAAACCCGTTACAAAATAATAAAACCAACCCAATTCAACTATAAATTTTTTAGTTGGATTGATTTGGATTGTTCGAGTCATTTATTTAATTTCTTTTTAATAAAAGTAAAATGTAAGTCAAATATCTATTTATTTATTTTTAAATATTTAATTATGATTTATAACTTAATTTTAATATAAAAAATTATTAAAAACTGAATGGCATTTTTGAAAATAATTTGACAAATCCTCTTTACCTTTTCTTCTCAAAATCCTACGACGAGCCTTTTCTTTTTCATCTTCACTCTGCGCCATTTCCAGACCCTCTCCACCTCTCGCCGCCTCTTTCCCGTTCATCTTTACCTGTATCTCCCCCTCTCCGCCGATCTCTCGTACGCCGCCGTTCGTATTTGCCGTTTTGGCTTCTTCTTCGTCTTCCTTTCTCCTGCAAAACCCTAATATCTCCAGACCCTAGATTGAAGCGGGTAAATCTTAAGGTAGGACAAGATGAGGATTATGATAAAAGGTGGTGTTTGGAAGAACACCGAAGATGAGATCCTTAAAGCTGCGGTTATGAAATATGGAAAAAACCAGTGGGCTCGAATCTCGTCGCTTCTTGTTCGGAAATCTGCTAAGCAGTGTAAGGCTCGATGGTATGAGTGGCTTGATCCTTCCATTAAAAAGGTACCTTTCTTTCTCCCTTTCACTTGTTTTTAATTTTTCTTTTTTCTTTTGCTGTTTTTGTAACTGGGCACTGGAAAGTGGAGTGAGCTGCGGGTGGAAGGAGTTTCTGTCCCTGTTTGGTTTAGGCTTAATAGTTTAGATTTGGAAAATATATGTTAGCTGTGATTTGATTTACGATTATAAGTAAAGGAGACATATAAGATGAGAATTGAGAGGAAATGAGGGACGTAGGCCTTCCCGATGTTCTTTCAGGAAGTATGGTGGTAGTTGGTGATATTATCTAGTGCTATGCATTTAGGATGTTTGAGAATGGAACTGTCATGCTAAAAGAGGCTAAAAAAAAGTTAATGTGGGAGAAAATTCCCAAGGAAAGTCAGTGTCTTGGCATGGATTGAGCTTAATGGTCAACTTAATACGGTTGAAATTCTTCAGAAAAGTTACTGTGGGAGGAAGAATTTTGAAAGAAGAGAAAAATGTACCCGGGGGGAGTGCGTTTTCTCATGGGAATGATAGTGATAATGATAATTAATGTTGATACTTGATGACCGGATTCCTGTTGGATGATGTCCTATGAAGCTCAGTATGGTTTGATTCGCAAATCGGCC